TCTCCAATTCATAACTTATTTTAGATTTATTTTTATTCACTTTCAACAAATTTTATTCATTTGATATTTGAATGGATCAGCTGAAAACTTTAAAATTTCAAAGCATTTTTTGATATATCACAATATTTGGGAATAATGAATAAGTGAAAGATATGCTAGATTTAAAGTATAACTTAGAATCACACCATATCAATACTATGAATCATGAATTTTCAAAGGCAATAACTAGTTTAGTTTAATTTAATGTACAAAATTGTTGGTCGTCACTTAAACGTCGCATAAGTCTTTGTATTTGTAATACTGAAAACATCATATATAATAATATGTCGATTCTAATTAAATGTAATGATTATCATTTCGAACAATTTCTTATGATTTAGAATTATTTTGAAATTATAAAATTAATGATGCTGGCATATTCTAGTATTTTGTAAATAAAATGAAAACTGGTAAATTTTCATCAAATAAGAAATGTCAGGAAATTTTTGCAATATTTCTTGTCGAATACAGTTAGGCACATCTGTCTTGTATTTTAGTTTAACATTATTGGTTGTCAAAATATACACATTTATTCCTTTTAAATGATTAAATTTTATAAAAACTATCAAATTTATGATGTAATATACATGTTTGTGTATAGCTACCGTTTTCAAAAAAAAAAAAAGTAAATTTCGTTTAAATTTGTTCAATAAATGTGATAAAGAATCAAACAAACTGACATAAAATTTGAAAAATGAATAAAAAAGTTTAAAGATCAAAAACAAAAAGGAAAAGGTACAAATATTTTACAAACAATTAGTGTAAAGTGATATAACAATAAATGAAAAGTGTATGTGCATGAAAAGGTGTATATATGCAACAAGCAACTGATAAAATTATCTCATCAAATTTACGAGGAAAAAAAAATCGCTTTCTTTTAATAAATTTGAAATTTGATGAATTTTTGCAAAAAAGTTCCACAGAATTGATCACATTCTGTTTTGCATTCAATTATTGGCTGAATTTCCAAAAACAAAAAAAAACAAAAAAAAAAGCAATTCCGAATAACTGTATGCAAAATTACTCGAACAAACTAAATTCCAAACAGTCTAACAGTTTGTCGTCGTTAGCAGCTGCAAATAGCAAAAAAAAAAAGAGAGAGAAAAAAAAAGAAAAATTTCATTCACAACAAAAAAGAAAAATGAAATTTCTAAAATTAATAATGAAGTGACGAATACGACAATTAGGGAGTTCATATTAAAATCAATTTGCTCGGCAAATAAGAAGTTTATAAACAGAAAAAAAAAAAAAAACAAACAAAATTTTTTTTTTTCTGCACGCAACAAATGCATTACACAAATAAGCATCTTTTACAAAAACATGCCAATGTAAAATTTTTGAAGAAGCAGAAGAAAAAAAAAATTGCTATATTAAAAGAGACTCAAAAAAAAAAAAAAAATGGAAAGTAATTTGCATATGGAACAATCAAAGAAAATTGTATAAGTCAAATTAGCAGGTGTAAACTGGCAATTGCATTTCTTTAACTGTTGAATACGGTGCTCGCGGTGAATTGTGTGCATAAAAATTGAAATTTGAAAAGAAAGCAAAAAGGAATAGTAGCAAGAAACTTAACTGATAATCTAAAAAGACATCAGTATTATTAATTTATGAATATTTTTTAGATTCATAATTTCTCTACAAATATATCATAAAGAATACGAAATGAAAACTTCAATTTGAAGAAACTTTATAACTAGGTATCATGGAAATCTACAAGTAACTTTCAATATCTTCTCAAAGGCAATGATCACACGATGCTATCTATCTATCTATGTTAACACCAAAATGGCAAAAACCATTCGATAGGAAATTTAATTAATTTAGCAATATGGCAAATTTTTAAAATATCAATACAAAAAATTTGTGTGTAAAAAAGCTATGATAGAAAAAAAAAAGATTACTCAAGATAAAAAGGAATAAATTTAGACTAAAATAATGAAATATAAAATTTCATAGATATGAATAATAAGTCTGAGGTTTGTTTCTTTCTTTTCAAGGTAACATATTGAGAATGCAAAAAAAAAAAAGAGAAAAATGGAGGTGCATGAGTGTATGTGTGTGTGTGTGCTTTAACTATTACCTATTTGTGAAAGGTTATGGTGCACAGAAGGTCAAAAACTATTTTAACAATTAATTATAGAAATTAGAAAAAAAAAAAAAAAAACAAAACAAAACTTTTTTTTTTTGATTTACCAATTTTATTGCTCAACAGCCATCCCTTACTTATCCATAAAAACTTTTTCTTATTTGTTCTGCAATAATATTTCTTATTAATTTTTATTTGCTTACTTACTACCCCCAAAAGTTAGATAGATTGTTGGAAATATTGCAGCTGTGAAATGTACTCTCTTTTCAAATCTTTTCAAATATTTAAAAATGGCAGTTTTATTGTCAAACGTAAATGTTAATGCCGATAGTGACAGCACGCATAAAAATACAGCTGAAAGATTTCTGAGCAAAAATATCATCAGAAAGATCTTGAAAAATTAAAAATTCTCAAACTCATAACACACAAACAACTCGCCGGAACCCGTATTCAAGCAAGCAAAAGAAGAAAAAAATTAGTGAATAATCGTAATATAAGGTAACTGAGTTGAATTTTTTTTTTTGTAAAGAGACCAATATACAATGTGTAAACAAAAACAAAAAAAAAAAAAAAAAATTACAAACATACAAGTAGCATAAACAAAAATTAGAAACTCTTTAGGAATTCAGATTTAGAAAATTCTAGAAAAATCCAAAGAAACGGACTGAGTACGATATGATCCAAATAAATTGAGACAAAATCTATAGACAGTTTGTTTGAGCACAATTTTCAAATAATGATTCTAAAGATGATGCTTAATTTATTTAATTAGGCTCATTGTCAAATTAACGGCCTTCTTCTGAATGAGGGAAATGAAACGAACTGAATTATGATTAATTTCAGCGTAAATGTAAACTGAAATTTATATGTCTCATGCTAAACCAAAAATAAAACTTATAAAACAAAAGAAAAAAAAAATTTATGCATTTTCCAAAAGTAATTCAACATATTCAATAAAAATAATCTACACAATTTTTTGTTTTCTTTCTTTCCTTTTTTTTTTTTTTTTCATTCCATTCTACAGTTATATTTTTTATTTTAAAGAATAATAAGAACGTATCATTTCTAAAGAATGATTTTGTAAATTAAAAAATGAAATATTTTTGAGAAGTAACAAATGAAAAAATATTCATACTTCCTTGCAAAATCTAGAATTCTGAATATCCCATAAGCATATGGAATTTTGAAAACTACTGGAATAAAAATACTAAAACAATCATGATTCGTAATTTTCTGTGCTAATCTATTCAAAAATGTCATAAATTCCAATTAAGCAAAGTGTTAAATGTTTGTATTTTTCGTTATCCTTATCTATTTTCCACTGTTTTAAAAAAAAAAAAAAAAAAAAAACACAAGAATCAGGGACAAAGCATAATCACAAACATATAAATAATTCAGAAGACAAAAACAAAGGAATGCACAATATTTGGTCAATTTCATCGATGTAACTTATAGCTTACAAAAAAAAAAAAACCAATATAATCAAAAAAGATATCGCAGCAAAAAAAAAAAAAAAAAAACTTAATTAAACAATGTTGCTCTTATTATATACTCATTTATTGCCATTATTAGTGTGTTCAAAGGATAGATAAAACAAAGAAAGAAGGAAGCAAGAAATATTCAAAAGAATGGAAAGGAAACAAATTGAAACTTGAGATCGCATAGATCAAAAAGTATACAGTCCACTTCTAAACGGCGAGGTATCTCGAAATTGTCGGTGAATGGAAAAAAGAAACCCATTCAAGTAACCATATACTAATAAGCGACCTCTTAATAGAAACCAAAATAATGCAAAGAAATAGCAAAACAAGGCCTATCAGATAATAATATTTTTGAAAAACCAATTTAAGACCAACTGTACTGCATCAAAAACTTTTATCTCACTGCTGCGAAATTTTAATAGAACGCTAAAGGATCAAAATTTTACTTTCACAGGAAAAATATATGAAATTAAAAAACATAATACACAAATTAACATCCATATAAACTTACTGGAATTTTTTTTTCCGATGAAAATGGGGGTGATCCATTAAATTCTATTCAAATTAAGCATAGTGCAGCGAGCTTAATGTGTATACACATATATATTCTTTTTATCACACAAAGTAGATAAGGAAAAATATAGCACAATTTTCAGGAAGAAAGTTATTTCCCTAACATATAAAAAGATAATTCAGTTGAAAATATACAAATTCTTTCAAAATTCAATTCATACCCATCATGGTTTAATTTTTTCCTGAATCAACCATATCCATTGTGAATTTTCAAAACTGTCTTCCAACATTTATATTTTAATAGCAAAACGAAGAAGCAAATTAACTAAATGACAAAAGAATTGAGAAAAAAACGAAAATTAATAATCTGAAGATGCAACTAATAATTATCAGCAACAAAAACATGACTCACCGAAACTACAGAATCATTTCGATGAGTTTCTGAGTTCGCTTGCAAAATAAAAATTTTTAAAATATGAAAATTTACAACATACTGAAAGATCGTCCAAGAGATCAAAGACCTGAGTAAGTTCGTCTATTAGTGCTCCATCCTTCTGAAACTGTTCAATAGATGAACGTCAGTTACTGAATTCTTCCTCTTTGATATTCGCCTAAGTTATAAAATACTCCGTTATTTCATAAGCTATTTAAAATGAAGATACATGAATATTGCTCAATCATTCAACACAGCAAATATTTCGTAGCAAAATAACACAAACATGCAACAATACTTTTGGAAAAAGCTCAAAAAACTAATCATGATCATCTTCTAATTTCAATTTATCATAATATTACTGATCAATCATAAATAGCAGCGAAAATTTGGAAGGATATTTGGCTAACTAAACCTCATTCTAATAGATATGAAAATAGGAAAATATTTACCATTGACCGGTAATGTCTCCCATTCGATTTCGCGCATATTCAATTCGAATACCACCGCGATGTGAGCTTGAAATACGGCAACCCTGTAGAGCATTCATTACTAGTGTAGCTTGTCGCACATCTCGAAATTCTACGAATGCTACAGTTGTGTCATTCCTGGTATGCAACCGTAATCGTGTAAATCCGGGATAAGCACAGAAAACCTAAAGAAAAGTGAAAGATTTCATCTATTAAAATTGATTAATTACATACTCATAGCCAAGTTTAGTCGCGCTAATTTATCGAAAATAAATTTTAGAGGAGTGTTTGTATTTAATGTGAATTCCTTTGCATATTGATTTCAGGCTATAATGAATTTTGAATATTAAGTTTCCCTTAACTGGATAAAAGAAAAAAAAAAACCATTATTCTTGAAAATGAATTGCCCATATTTCATTCCAGTAAAATTTTGCATTTAAAAAATTACAAAAAGAAAAAAAGAAAAACTACAGCTGCCATACTGATAGAGAAAAATTAAAAACATCAATTTTGTCCAAATTTAAGCAAAATCGAGAGAAATCCCATAACTCCCTAAAAACATATTTTTATGAATTTTGCTTTTCAGAGAGAGAGAGAGAGAGAGAGAGAGCCTATTGCTAAATGAGTTTTTTTTTTTTTTTATAATATCCACATAACAAACTTGTCCAATCGAATAAACTATGATTAGGCTTTACTTCTTTTGGTCTCATTTCCTTCTAAAGGCTGCTGGAACCTATCATATAGAAAGAAAAAGAAAATGTAGATTCAATTTTTAGCATTTTTTTTTTAAGAAGCATTTTTTTCCCTCAGTGAGCACAAGAGAAAATGATAGGATGAAAATAGCAAAGAGTAAATCTAGAATCTTTTTTTTTTTTCAGGAAAAGTTATGATAAGTAGAAAATGTTTCAACCTTTTTAGTAAGTGCTTAAGTAATATGGAAGTGTGCATTTGTGAAGAATGCATGCATAATTTGCCATAAAAAGTAATTTCTCACTGCTTTTAACTATTCACGGTTTTATTTTTATGATTAGATAGGCAGTAAGTAAATAAGTGATCTGCTAGCTGATTCGTGATGTGATGTAAGTAAAGTGATATGTTGAGATCATTCTTCCTCTATTTTCTTTCTTCTGTGATTACAAAAGTAATTTCATATTTTCACCTTAACATTTCTTGATTGTGAAGTATTATCTAGAAAGAAGTAAAATTTTTTTACCTCAAAAAAAAAGTGACATCTCACTTAAGAAAACCGGAAAAAAGAAAATAAAAACATTGCACTTATTCAGTGATCATACTTGATAAAAATACAAAACCATCAAAGTATTTGTTATCTACTTTTTTTTTCTCTTTAATTTTCGCAGTAAAAGTTCAGTTTAAGACCAAATTAATTACGGTCTACAATTGCATTATCGTAATAGCTAATCGCTTATTTGCTTGTTTCAAAATATATGATAATTTATATGTTTTTCTAAGTTGGAACGCTTCCAGGTTTCATTAATTTTTTTTTTTACGAAACTATAAATCACAACTCATCACATTTCCATGTGATCAACAACATTTTTTGAGTTAATGAATTGCTCAAGTGAAGGCGATACCAAGAATACTCATTCGGTTGTACTCGGTGACACACACACACTATGTATTACGTCCGTCATATATCAAAAGCGCTTAAATGATAACAAATAGTTCAAAAGAAGAGCATTTCTAACGTTGTATTTATCATTGCACTCATTATCTTTCATACTTATATGAGATTCAAAATAATAAACTGAGTTAGATACTACCATACAGTCATTCGTATCGAAATAATAGTAATTCTTTTCTTAGCAATTACAACAAAGATACGAACAATCAAAACTTGAATGTTTACTTATATATGTTATTGAGTTGAAATTTCATAGTAAGACGTAATGAAATTAAAGCAAATGAACGTATGAGAAAAGATAGATCAGTGTAGTAGTTAAGCTATCTTGGTATCCTCCTCACTTGGACAGATATTTCACAAAGATTAGATGGATAGGATATCAAATGTGTGATATCATCATTTTGTTATCAGTTTAGTGAAGCAAAATGATAGAGCGGAAAGTGTAAAAGAAAAAAACTCACAGCTTTCAGTTCATCTTCTGTGACTCCATCTCCCAAATTGGCTACAAACAGTGTGGAGCATGCTGGTGATACTGTTGCTGTAGCCTTTGCAGCAGCAGCAGCAGCTGCAGCTGCATTTGCTGATGTTACAGCTACAGCATTTAGTTGTGCAGCGGTAACATGTTGTGTAGCAGCTGTTAATTGAGCAACTGCAGCATTTGGTTGCAAAAAAGGTGTTGAGGAAACATTGGCAGCTGCAATGGGAGGTAATGGTAAACCGGCAGCAATTGCAGCTGCAGCGGGAGGTAACAGAAATGGTGGTTGAGATGCTGCAGCAGCAGCAGCAGCTGCGGCAGCTGCAGCAAATTGCGGTACTGAATTCAGGAGGAAATGATTTTCGTTAAGAATATGGGCAAGCTGTGAATCATTAAGACATGCCGCACTGATTAAATCCTGTCGATGTGATGTGGGAGCAGCTATTGATGGTGGTGGAGGAGGTGGTGCAAAAACGGACTGTGGCGGTGGTGCCGCTGATGCTGCAACAGCTGCAGCTGCAGCTTGCAGCATACCTGGAGGAAAAGCTGCCGCATTAACGGAGGTTGGCGGTGGAAGAACTGCTAATGGTGGCGAAATCTGCTTAGGCTTCGGTACTTTTGTATTACTTTTTGCTTTTTCAAGACGAATTTTATGACCAGTGATAGGATCAAAAAGTGCGCTCTGCAACGCTTTCATAGCAATCTCAGCATCTTCTGCACTAGAAAATGTGACAAAACCAACAGGTGATGCAATACCGCCATCTTTTGATTGCGTTATTCGAAGTAGTGAATTCTCATAGCCTCGACAGGATCGGAAAAGAAGGTAAAGCTCGCGTTGTTTCGCATCCATTGGTAAACCGGAAACGAATAGAGTGCGTACTGGCTCATTTCCAGTAATATTAGGCGCTGCTCGTGTAGATATCACTGAATTGGTACTATTACTTTCAATCGATTCCAATGATTCGGTGCCCGCCAATTTGCCGTTCTCCATTTTCGGAGACGGACCACCACACGGTGAATGTGATCGCTTCAGATTTATTTACTGTTTTTTTCAAACAGGTTTTCCAAAAATAAATTAGAGCTGTATAACGTAGCAACTAGACAAGTATAGATTTTTGGGTGAATCTCCCTTTTCAGCAAGCCTGAAAAAAAAAAAGGAAAAAAGAAAAAATTCTGTTAAATTATACACAAATAATTCTAAGCTAACAATAGCAAAAGAAAATGAACGAATTGAAAACTTTCTCGTTTCATAAATTAAACGACAGAACATTGAAAAAAAAAAAAAAAAGAAAATTTCAAGATAATGTAACACTATCTTACGGCAAGTTAACACACACACACACACTAGCATTGTATCAATTAGTTTGAAACAACAATGATAGGTAGTATAGTATATACAACATTTGTTATAAAAAGTTGGTTAATTTACTTTTCAATTTTTAATGCTTAAATGTGTTAAAAAGTATGAAATTAATCTTCACAGATCAAAAATCATTCCATACATTTCAGTAATGAAAATGAGCTAAAAATACCATCATGATACCTGAGAATTCTATTAAATCAAAACTATCATCAAGGTTACAACATTTATCGAACAGTTCAGTTCAGTTCAATTCCACACCATGACATCTAATCATGAGGCATCCAGAAAATGACTGTTAACACACTGTCAACATCCTTTTCATCTACCTATCTTATAAAACTACCGGGTGTTATACATGTATACATACATACACAGACACACCTTGATGTGTTGTGCATGGTAGATGCTTTCATGGTCAATTTTATACCACCCCCTCCCTCCCCACCTTCCCCTTCCTCCCTAATTGCTCAATTTCGTACATACACACACACACACACCCATACCAACATATAACATATATCGACAGATCTGTACCCGTACAAGCAACGCTCCACTCCACTCCACCTAAATGAGGATAATACAGTGATTGTCACTACCCGACGGGTATGGTCAACATGCCTTTCTGAACTGATCATCTCTTCTTCACCATCAACTACGACCACTATTCACATGCATGAGAATTTAAATTTTTTTCTTTTTTGAGCATCGACAATCGAATACTATAAAAGGTCAAGTTTGAGAAATATCAGCCATCTTAAAAAGTTAATTTTTTTTTTTTTAAAATTGATTTTTGATTGTCATCTTTGTTCTTCTCCTCATTTCATATAAATTTACATTATTCATCACAAAAAGAATGTAAAATTATGAAGCATAAAAATGTTAACAAAATTATGCTAACAAAAGAAAATCCTAAAGTTTAAATGCAATGCATCTTGCAGTCCAAAAATGAAGCATATGATAAGCACAATGATTGCAACACATTAATTCCTCTCTTATGACATCACATCATCTAAAATGAAAAATGACAACCTGCTAGAATAGAAATTCTCTTCGGACAGTTAACATTTCTTGATAACTTAAGAAAATTAAGGTAAAAAACACAACAGACTGTGTAAAAACAGTAACTAATTCTTAGTCTTACATCCTATATAATAGTCTTTTAATGAATGAACGAGAATCATTAAAGAAGAGAGGTAGGAAGAAATTTTATAAAGAAATAAAATATACAATAGTCATTTATAGCTTCAATATTGTACTATCTAAATTCTCTCTTAGAATTAATTACCTGTGAAAAACAAAATGATTACAATTTCTTGATGCTAAATATCTAATCTAGTCTATCAGATTCATTCTCAGGTTAATTAATTAACGGTTCACAGTATAAAATGATATTCATAGAGTTCATGGTTAGCAATAAACAAACAAAACCATTATATGAGATTCGATTCTGGCAAAAGAGAGCATTTTTATATTCTTTTTTTGCACAACCCTTTATGTTGAAATATTCCTCAACAGATCGCAAATATATCCAAAACAAATAATCACAGCAAAAAAAAATCTTCAATTCATATTTCATTTGTTGTAGCTCACCAACATACTATACAAACACATCCTGTTTGCATGGATCTCTTTTCATAATAAAAATAATTAACTGCTATGAAAGAAAAAAAAAAAAATTTTTTTTTTTTACTGATCGATTCTTCCATTCTAGAATACCTATTTGTAACCATTTTAAAGTCTAAATCTTATTAAAATTAAGAAACAATGAAGATATTAAAATTGAATGCTGTTTATGCATGATTTAGAATCTCTATTATGATTTAGTTTAAATCTTACAAAGCTTGACATGAAGTTATTATTAACAAATGCAATTTCTATTGCAATACCATCAGTGGGAAAATTCCAATTAATCTCTCTAAGTCTTTTTAAAAAGGAAATAATGAAAAGCAGAATGGAGGAAAAAAAAATCCACTACCCTATCTGAAGAAGAAATTAAATTATAAATCAGAAATAATCTAATTCAAAACTCTTGGGAGATTATATTTTCCTTAGCAAGGATTCATATGATAATTTACAGCGAATTATTTTCAAATATATAAAAATACTGTAGTATTCATTGTTCGCTGATATTTTCCCTCAACAGAAAACATATATTAACAATGTTTTTTAAAGTTTAATGTAAATGTGTGAAATATTCAATGATTCAAAGTTTAATGTAACTATTATAATGATGACCTAGAGAGAGAGTACATTGTGATGACGAAGTGAAAAGAAAGAAGATATGAAATAAACCATATCGAATGATGATGGTCACTCAGCAACAGCAATAGCCAACAGCAGTACATGAGTAACCCTTCTTCATCTTACCATCATTTAACGATTGACCTCAAACGACTAATAGCAAATATTACAGAGAAACCTTCGCGCCTATACAACGAAAGTTACGCCTACTCCTACTTTAAAATAGAGACAGGATGATATGACGTGACATGGTCGAAACGAGACATTTTGTTTACTCAAATAGCACAAACGAAGGCATATTTGGACAGATAGATAGATATACAAACTCACATTTACATACATTTGCTGACAAACATTTAGGTACACACACACACACACACTTATAACTTAGAAATAGGTACACACTTCTACAAACAAATAGATGTCCATATACAAATATATATATATATATTTGAGTGTACTATGAATTCTTTCAACAAAATAGCAAATCTCATGAAAAATAAAACAATCATCAGCTCATCCACCGATTAGAGGATAAAGTTTAGCTACGGTTAGGAGGTATATTTGATACATATACTGTTACATGATTAGTATATACAGTACATATTCGTTGATATCTCTCTAGATGAATTTGATTGAAAATCTAAACTTTACCATATCAATATAGATATAATGCAATGATGAATAGCATATTTGAAAGAGAAATTAAAGTTGGAAAAATGAAATCAAATGGATACAAGTAAACGTTTCACATTAGCTTCAATAAGAAATACTACCATAAATTCAGTGTCAGAGAGTTTTTTTTTGTTCTTATCAAGTTGACAGTATTTAAAGTTAAGATACTTAACAATGCATGAAGAATGGCAGATATAAGTGTTGTAATGATACATTAAAATGCATAGTGGAAAGGGAGAGAAAGAGAAGAAAAGAATGAATGCCTCAGGGAAGGCTCTGGAAAATTTATGCATTTGGAAGTAAGGAAAATATCATCAATAAGTATTCAGATAAAAGTATATTCATCTCATCAACTTCAACAAAATATGCCTCATAGTGACTGACATTGCTTTTTCTTTATTTACTTCTAGTTATCATCTCGTTACTACAATTCAGAGATAATTCCCCACATCAAAAATTTCTGATCTTTAAATTAACAATCCCTCTGGTAATTCCATTCATCAGTGCATATATCTAAAATACATAAAGTAAAAAATCATTTCTTATAAAAAAAAAACAACCAATGCAAAATCATCAAACAAACTATTACATACCAATATTCAAACTTAATGATATAAGTCTCAAAATAATTTATAGATGATCTCTTACCAAAGCAGCTTACTAATATGTCAGACGAACCTTTCCAAACCTTAACAACAGATTTCTTTATGTTTTTTTTTTAATTTCAAAAAAAAAAAAAAAAAAAATTAGAGAAACGATTAGCGCATTTAAGAGTACTTTAAATGTCTAATTATATTTTCCTTTTCTAGAAAAAACTTAGCACATCTCAGACATTCTATTAGGAAAAGGAAATTTTATTAAAATCAACTATTCTTTACTTTCTGTTAGCTCTCTTCAATTTTATATCATTATAAACATCAAATAGGAACAGAAAAATAAGATCGTATTATCACTTTATCACCAGATCATTAAAGACGTAATTTCACAGACTGCATGTGTGGCTTCAGTACCTATGGCGATATACATGGGCGGCTTAAGTATTTAAAAACGGTGAAATCTTGAAACTAACACAAAAACAAGAGCAAAAGCAATAGATCTAATCAATTAATTTCCAAGTCTTTTGATATATGATGATGACTTATCCGTGGAGATGAAGAAATAAAGATGAGGCAAACAAGTAAATCCTAAAAACCGGCAAATCAGCTTTACCCTTTGATATTCCCAGATGATAATGAATTTCCTCTACAAGTGCCAAAAATTGAACCATATAAAAAGCAGTTCTTAATATTTTCAATTCGTGATATTTAAATTCACAAAAACCGCATTCTATTTCTACTACCGAAAATGACGACTGGACGATCACAAACCTAATTCTAATAAGTTACTATAGAAATTATTGCATAATTTCTGTGATTTTACATTAAAAATAAGCCTGCAAGAGTTTGTTTATCCATTTCATTGAAAGAATAGGCTTAGCTTATCTATCTACTTATGCTAACGTGCTAGCAACAAAATTTACGCTTTAGCCTAGTTAAATTATTCGGACTATACTTCATTAAATCATGCTAATTTCCTAGCAGCAAAAGTAGATAGAATGATCAATATATACATAAGTATATCAACATATATTATAGTGACAAACCGTATTGCTCTCTTCTTTTCGGATGAAAGATTTTAACAGAAAAAAAAGAAAAAAAAAACTTTCTTACTGC